ATGTTATGTGGTGAACTATGTTGTGATGTGCATGAGACACATTATGTTGTGATGTGCACAAGGCACTAAGGATGGCATTCAACAACGGTGGTAATAATGTTAGCAATGATAACAACAACAACAATATCAATACTAGCCATAATTTAGTTTAGTTTTCAAAATATTTTAGTTCAAAATAGTTTTATGAACACTTATAGTTTTAACAGTTTTTTTATGGTTTTAAAATAACATACTTTAAAACTCTTTTATCTTATTAAAATTAGTTTAAGAGTGCATTTATGTAGTGGTGCCAGTAACAATGATAATGATGTTAGCAATGATAGTACCGACAACAATGTCAATACTAGCAATAATGATGTTAATGATTGTAGTAGCAATTGTATTGATTTAATTATGTTATGTGGTGAACTGTGTTGTGATGTGCATGAGACACATTGTGTTGACTTGTGTTGTGATGTGCACAAGGCACTAAGCATGACATCCTAACTTAACCCTATGAGTATCTGCCTCAACTCGTCCCGATTTGGACGGGGAAAATCTGTGTTGATCAAGTTTGATTTTGAGTTCATGTTTTTCCCGATTGGTAAAATCAGGGACGGGGGTGAGGTCGATGATGTTAATACTCGCTCCGCCCCCACTCCCATACTTGTTCCTGCCTCGCTTATGATATAATTAAAAAACTATCCTTATATATAAAAAAAACTAAAATTAGAAACATTTATATGCAAAAGTTTGTATTATCTTATTTTTTCATATTTAGTATAAATAGAAGAAGAAAAAAAGGTCTAGGAGTGAGGGCGGGGCGGGGCGAGGTGGGGAAACCCAAACCTCGTCGAGGGCGGAGATAGGTACCCAAATTTTACCCTCAGTGTTCCCCCCTTGCCCTGTTGCCATGCCTACGAGGCACCTTATATTGAATAGTGTTGTGAGTGCATAACATTATATGATTATAAACTACTATAAATTGATTTATGATAATGTATAGTGAAATTTTAAGTTGTTAAGTTGAAAGTTGATAATTGATTAAGTTGTATAAACATGTTGTGATGAGATACATGACTAAGTTGAGATACATAAAGGCTAAAGGAGAGTAAAGTTGTTTTAAAAAATTAAAATATCCCATTGTGTGGATATAAGTTGTGGTGTTCCAAAAGTCCAAAGTTATGAACTCTTCAGTAAGTAAGTTGGCTTCTAAATGTGTAATTATTTTTAAGTTGTACCCTTTAGGTTTTATATGGGAACAATATGGGAGTCATGTCGAACCATATTGTTCATACAGTGACTAAATGTAAATTCGTACGAAGTTAGGTAAAAACATATATGTATAAAGTAACCAAATTAAGTAACATATAAAGTCAAGGGTAAAATATTTAACTGATCATCGAAAATGTGCATAATATTTGGTAGACTACTTTCATGTGAGACTTAGATATGCATACCAAGGTCATAGTAGATTCGCACCTAAATTGGTCTACCTTTACAATAGTATTAGACTTTTATAGTTTAAGTGTCGAGACCTGAAAAATTAGTTTAAGTTGTTTACCAAGTGCTTAAAAGAAACCCAACGTTGTATCTACTTGATATGGCTATGATAGGTTAGACATAGTGATTTGGTAGGGTCAAGACACTTAAAAAGTTCACCTTTATTATATGAAATCTCCATAATTATAAGTTGTTATGCATTACAACATAATAATTGTTCAATGTTGAGAATGTTGTTTATGTTGTAAGTTGTAGTTGTATTTGATAATATTTAGTTGATGTTATGTTATGAACTAGCTGGATGTTGTTTAAGTTGTTCCTATCGTATAAGTTGTAAATTCATTATTTGTTATGTTAATTATTTCGTAAGTTTATAATTTATTAATTTTTCTTTTGTGATTAGATTGCAATGATCATACTTTGTATGAGAGTGTAACAAAATTAGCTTGGATGGCTTGGCTGTTGGTGGATGGTCATGTTGAAGATGATCAGTCGCGTATATATTGTTTTGATACAATATTAATTTGTTGTATAAATGTTTGACTAGCGATAGAGTTTATCTTTTCAATACTTGTATATTTTAATATATAATGTATATATGTACAAGGTAATTACGTAATTTCATAAAGAACTTGATGTTTTCTAGTTTTATAAATATGAATTGTTTTAATTTTTCTACACTATATATATATATATATATATATAAATATATATATATATATA